TCTTCTCACAGTTCCCGACTATGTCCTTTAAACACAGACCGGGCAAAGGACGGCAGGCTCTGTGGCTGATTCAGAGCAACCCGTGTGCTGATTAGAAAGAAATGTCATCTTTAAGCCAGCCAACTTCATACTTTGAGACTTTAACCTTTCTGCCCAATTTGGCTAAAACTGGGCAATGGGTTCCACAGTTGTTAAGGGGAGATTGGCTGACTCGGAGAGCAAGGGTCCAAGTTGTGCTATGGAGACACAAAGGGTTTGCCAAAGGCGGCTACAGAGTTCTGACTATAAAATTTTCCTCAAAGCGATGAACAGCAATTTAAAGATCGATTGAAGTTGGACTTCAGCCTGTGAACTGGCTGGCTGACCGATGTAAGCAAGGGGAGGGGAAGGAAGAGACGTGCAGCAGCAGAGGGAAACGGTGACATTACTGCTGTGGAGAGCAGCGAACTCGTCCTTCCTCAAGTGATCTTGAGAATCTGGGGACCAAACCCTAAGGCTGGACGTGTTCAGTTCTGCGTACACCTAAACTTGAGCGCCCACTGCCGAAGAATTCATGACCCATTTCTGCACCGTGTGGAGTATGGTGACTACGCTCACCCACATCAAAAAACAGGATCGCCTTTCTGGAAGAAACAACGTTTACAACGAAAACTCCAAAAAACTGGCCTAGAGTAAGGAGCTGTGAAGCTGAGCAAGTGGGAAAACTCAAAACCCTGTAGCTGGAAATTGTCATTAAAGCGGCCTCACGTCTGCTGAAGCTGCATCGCCAAGGCCCACCGGGAAGCTGCGCCTTGTAGGCCAAGACAGCCTCTCAGCTTCTCGTGGATAGCAGTAGTAGGTTTCTCACAGTGTTTCGTACATTTAATAACAGCCACAAATAGCAGCGCATAGCAGTGTTGCCGGCTCTCTCAGCTTTATTTATGAGCCCTGAAATACTGGTGTTTTCCTGAAATCCCTGTTCTTAAAGTCCCATTAAAGGAGCATCTCAGCTTGCATTTTAAACCAATAGCCAAGTTCCTGATGCACCGTGGATGTGACCCAAGTATACTTTCAGGGCCAGGAAGAAAGTAAGCAAAAAAAAAACCAACCCGAACCTAACTGCGTATTTTAAAGTCTTTTTAAACCTGATTTTTAAGCTGACGTTACACTACTCAAAAGCTTGCATCATAATTTTTGAATACTTGGGAGTACACGCAGTTATTGGGTTTCTATCATTAGGGTGAAATGAGTCAAATAGCCAAGATCTGATAAGAAACTACACTTGTTTGTTTTTTATGTCCAGTTTAGATTATATGAAATAATTTCAATCTCGCAGCAGCAGCTTCTGCTAACGATTCAAGGAGACATGTCATCATCTCCCCTCGCCTCCCTGTCCGCCGGGACAGCTCCATAGACGTCTCGGATACCTGTGAAGACAGGCAGACCGACAGACGAACGGACAGACCGACCGACCTCCCCCGCTTGGCTCGGGCTGGTCCCAGCAGCCGAACGCCGTTCTGCCTCGCCACTGACTCGTTGGGCAACGCGGGCACGTCACTTAACCCGTCTCGGTTACCCCATACGGGCTTAATTATACCCACTTATCGCGTAATCACTCCATTATTAT